ATCGCTAGGTGGTTGTCATATCCAAATTCGAGCCGAATCGCGCGACTACTAACGGCCAGCTAAGCCATAATAGGTTTTCACGTCTTCCTAGCTGCCGCCGAAAGTGTCCGCGCGATCTCGGCCGAACGCTCCAACCACGGCACTACTTCATGGCGTGCATCATCAGTCCACTGCTCAATAAAATCCATTCAGTAATAAGACCTCCGTAAGCCCTTTTACGAAGACGGGGAAAATTTCACCGATGTTTCCAATTTCCCCGTCTTTGGGCCGAAAGGACCGCCTTCCGAAGGTCCCACCGCTTTGGCGGTTGGATGCTATGCTCGGTAGCCTAAGCCGAGACCGTGGGTAGAGTTTTTCCCAAACCGGGAAAAAACTCCAAAATCCCCGACGCCGACATCGACTATCCGGAGAGGCCAGAGGGGAACGAGATCCGACGTCGACAGCGACGACGGGCGCTTTTTATTGGAAATTTTGGCGGACAATTCACTACCGGGCCGCCAAAAGTATGGAGATCTGAGAAAAGCGAGCGAACGTCTACTCCCGGCATTCGCAGTATTACAGTGGGAGTACATGGTACAACAAAGCGATACAGAGCGATTGTGTAACAAATCTTATTCATGGTAAATAACTTGTATATGTTAATTGTGAATCTTTATTGTCTGTTAATTTTTTTCAATATATACTTTTAACATATCTTCCACGGTATGATTGAAAAAACCCTGTCATCAAGCTCAAGAACTTTGGAGCTCAAGCTCACAGGCTCGCTTCACGAGGCTTCCGTCGAGGCTGCCATTCCTCGACGTGACATTAATAGTGCCTAGCAACCACTACTCGCTTCACGAGACATACCACCCGAGGTAGCCTAGCCTGAGGTGAAGACCCTGTTCAATAGCCCCCTGCATCGAAACAGCGGTAAATCTCCAGGATCCATTTGAGACCTGCGATACCGTCCGAGACTGACCACCTCCGACGAAGATCCTGTGCGATCGCCATTCGCATCGACACAGCGATACCCCAGGCTCCTCCAGAGACCTGCGTACCGCCCGAGATAGCCCAACCTGAGGCGAAGATCCTGTTCGATCGCCCCCTGCGACAAAACAGCGATACATTTCAGGCTCCTCCGGTGACCTGCATACCGTCCGAGGCTGAGAACCTCCGACGAAGACTTTGATTCCGATCGTGCTAGTCATGGGTAACACTGTGTTGAATGGCGCTTTTGTGTTGACACCTCTCTGGGTGTCATGGGTGCTGAAACAGTCCACGTGACACCATGACACTTAATAACACCCAAGATGGCAGAAATTGCGGATTGCGAGTTACTAAACGGCGCGCGGTGTCACGAGTCACCATCCTGATTCTCGATGGGATGGGGATTATATTATGACACCGCGGAAGCGCGATTATGGGAGTTAAGGGGCCACAGAGTCCCCGATTTAATCTTTTTTCCAAAACTTATTTATTACGTATATAACACTTGTGAGTAAAACAATTTAATACTCAAAATATACCTAGGTATTTTAATTATTAAAACTCAAGTCGTTTAAAATATCTATATATTTACATAAAACACGAGTAAAAATAAATATCTTTGATAAAAAAAACATACCGCAAAATTAAAAAAACATAAAACTAAAACTGAAACATTAAAAAAATACTGATAGCTATGGTTTCGTAAATAAAACAAAATAATCAAAAATAAATTACAAAAATTGGACTAATTA